GTGTGAAGACACTCGTGGTACAGTGGACAAGACAGTGCGCTGGGAACTAAAAGATCGCAAGTTCGAATCACGGATTGGACAACTCCTACAAAAGACATGAAAGACGTTAAAAACATAAACAGCGGATTCAAAAACTCAAGTCAGGAAAACAGAACACAAGAATACTACCCCACGTGGAAGCCAGCCGAAGTCGTCGAAGAACGAACACAGTCGAAGAACGAACACAGTTGACAGCTGTAGGTCACGTGCAACAACAGACACGAGGAGCATGGCTGCTCTCCAAATGGGTCCCTTCTTTAGTATTGACCCCCTAAGGATTGCTAATCCCCCTTTCTAACTCTTCCCCCCAAAATACTATATCGCCCCTTTTAAAATGTATTGAGCCACAAATTAATGAATATTCATGAGCACAGAAACTGCTACGTCATGAATAAATTAGCATAATTTTAAAAAATTTGCATAAAGTGTAGGTACTCCTTCTGGAGCTCTGCCGTATAAATTGTTGGGAGTCATCGGAAAAATAATTTTTTTGAAAAATTAAATTGTCGTAAGTGAAGAGAAAAAAATTAAAACATTAAATTAAAAGAATTGCGACAAACATGAACATTTTTTTTTATCAGAGGTTGAACCTGGCCTGGCCAGGACAGTGCATTCAATTGTCATAATGCCATTATGATAAGAAGATTGTGACAAAATGCACTGTATCATTACATGTTGTTAGTGCTTGCAATTTTGCTCATTGAAAGCTAAAAAAGTTGGGAGAGACAACAGTGACATTCAATTCCTGAACTGTCCCTTGTCACAAAAGGATATAATTTATAAATTTAAAAACAAAATTCGAAAATATGGATTACTTCAGTAAGATTTTACTGGTACAATGTACCTGAATTGGTAAAATGTTTTATGGCAGTATTCATTGAAGATCTCAATCAGTACTTTATTTAAGATCAGCGAGTCTTGTCAAGGATTTATGAGGTAAGGGTATGCAGCTTTCATAACCATGTAAAGTAATATCTCTTTACTGTGGCCACAAACCAGCAATATTGTCAGTTTGGTTTGTCTGACATTATGGCTGTGTTGCAAGCAATGTTGCTCTCAAATCTGATCATGATCTATAGACTTTCTAAAGTAATATTGCTTGCAACTTAGTTGTATTGTCAGCCAACTTAGTTGTATTCTAGGTGTACAAAGCAATATTGCGGCCACAGTAACCAATAGTGCTACAGAACACAGTGGATGCAGTTTTGAAATGAGATTATAGCCATCTTAAAACACCAAATACATGTATTACATGGTCTGAGATGAACTCTTATCAGTTCTTTCACAGGCTGACTAAAATGTTGATCTCAAAATTTGCGTGACTTCTCTAAATCGATGAGATCTTCATCACATATAACACTACTTGCATACCCTCATATTATAAATCCTTAGTCTTGTGTGTCTATGCACTCTAATGCTATGTTTTCTTTCTTTGTAGCTGGGGTTGGGAAGACATCCCTTATATTATCCCTTGTGAGTGAAGAATTCCCAGAAGAGGTATGTTGTCAAAAGTAACATATATTGTTCAGAACTAGTGAAACTTAGAATTGCTCTATCAAGCTGCCTTTATTGTTCTTGGACACATCAAAATCATGCAAACATGTACTGTACCTGACTGCATTAGCACCCATGCATGGTCAAGCACCCACCTCCCACTTTTGCGCAATTTTTATATTCGGGGTCACATTCGGCAAAGTGCCCACCCCTTTAAAATGCCACTAGTTTAATACTTACTCTTTGATCATTGCTTAACGAATACTGGTAATCCTTTTTATATGATACAGCATGGATATCGACTGCTGTGAATATGTTGTGAATGCCGTGCATAAACAATGACCTGTTAATAAAAGTAAAATGCCATATTCAGTTTACCCATAGACCCTCTAAAAAGAGGGTCTATGGTTTACCTATCAAAAATTTTGCTAGTTACCAGTTTTTTGAAAAAACCATGGCGTTTGTTCACTGAAATCAATTCCAACAGATCATACTTCGACATCGATAATGCACTTCTGCATTGCTCTACCAGAGGGTCTTCGGGAATTTTCATCGAATTGTGTCGGTACAACACAGGATTCTGATTGGATAATAACAGACTTGACTCATTAGGTCAAAGGATGTTGTTGCAGGTTAAATCTTGCTCAAAACGTCATGGCAGAAAGTGCTTCATCAAGAGTTTGTGTGCGATCCAACACATTCGTCAATGGCAATAATGATGAATATTTTGACTTCAACTGTGTTCCAACATTTGTAACCTTGTAAATTCGGGTGGTATGTAATTGTAATAAAATATGCAAATTTTTTTTGACCATTTCTGTTTCTTCATTGTAAATGTCAATGACGATGCAACTAATTTTGTAACTTTATTGTCGCTCAAAGACGTAATATCCCCCTCAATCTGTCACATGGCGAAGAAGGGCTTTTGATGAGAAGGAATGTTTGTCAGATTGTGAATCATCTTTATGTAAAAATAAATGAATGTATCAAAATATATGATCAATTTCTTGTTTTCCTCTTGTTACGGCCGTATTTGGGTCTAAAGTCGGATGACGGTCAGACTGGAATCTTTCCGTTGACCCAAACCCAAACAAGGGGTTCGCAACAAGAAACGACACGAACACAGGATATTGTCAAATTCTATTATTGTATTCGTGTAAATAAATATAGTGCGCTCACGAGGTATCAAAAGACATTAATTCAAATGAACAATAAATTTACAAATTTAGCATAATACAATAACAGTGTGGTAAGACACACAAAATTAGACAACACAAGGAAAATACATTTACAGTCGCCTGGAGTCATAAAACGATATGGACACTAAAATACCTAGTTTCAAAAGTCAATCTTTTCGACGCAAACAACACGTGGCCTAATCTTTGGCTGGCTTCGGCTTAAACAATTGCGACGTGATTGCTGGACGGCAATGAGTTCTTGTAAATCTTGCTGAGAGAGAGAGGATGCAGTTCTTACAAACGTCCATGGAATGACATAGTGAAACTGTACATTGTCTTCAATTCGACTTGACGTGAAACAATCTGTCTT